TTTTTTTTTTTTTTTTTTTTATATATTATATCTGTTTAATCTGATATAATTTTTGTCATTTCCCTAGAAGTCATTATTTTTTTTACCTTTTACTTTCACATTAGTTTTAAAATGATTTTATGCAAAATTCAATCATGACTGATTTTATTTTTTACAGTGCACAGAAACAGTGGATTGGTGGCAGGTGAAATATATTTTATTTATTTTGAATAGGGCACATCATCCTTATATGACATATCATAAGTTGTCCATTCTGGAAAAATAGGTTTTTATTTCTCCTAAATAATTAGAAAATGTTTAAAATTCCAATTGCTTATCTCATCAATAATTTGTATACATTTACTTTTTTTTATTGCTTAAAGAATGGTTATCATCGCCACATATTTTGTACAGAAATTCATTGGAAGGAAAATTGTTTGATGGAAATTTTTGGGAAACTGAAGTTTGTTCAAAATGAAATAGTGGGTAAAAAAACAGCAAAAATAAATTTTATTAAAAAGTTTACATTTTCCCTATGTCTTACTTGCACTTTCCCATCAAAAACATTTTAAAAATAAATTTCCATTTCACAAACTCGAACAAACTTCATTTGAACAATTTCCCTACTAACAAATTTCTTTCATACAAATTTTCATTTCAGATACAGAAATATTTTTATGCGTAAAAGGTTGAAATATTTTAAATACTATAAATTATTCCAAAAAATCCAGGGAAAGTTATATGTTCAATGCCCTGGAAACTATAGCTAACTCGGAAAAGCCAGTGACTCCTGTGTTAGGTTGTCGTATCAGCAAAGCCTTGGAGCCATGTTTTGTTCTAGATGATGTAAGTTAAATAAGATTTTTAGCTAATTAATAATTGGTCAACTATTGATGCCATTGACTTGATGCAATAGGCCTTCTAAAAAATGTAGCTATTGAATTTATCTTAAACTATATCCCTTTTTTTTTTATGTTGTCATTTTTCTTAAAACAACTCACAAAATAAACCTCATAGGAAAACCTAAGTTTGTGACCCAAATAAGATTACCTCTTCCAACAGTTTCTGACTTCACGTGTCAATTGGGTGGTCCAAAGTTCTGCTGTGGATTATCTCCATCTGATGCTAGTGTGCATGCGTTGGCTGCTTTCTACTTACAAGATCAAAGGACGGTTCTGTGTGAGTATCCATGATGAAGTACGCTACTTGGTTAGTAGTCCTGACCGCTATAGAGCAGCTTTAGCCCTACAAGAGACCAACCTCCTGACACGTTCTATGTTTGCCTACAGATTGGGTTTGAAAGATTTGCCCCAGGTAGGTAGAGAAATTGTATATGGTACTAATGAATTTTTTACTGCATTGTGGTAAAGAAGAAAGAATACTGCAATAAAAACGTATTTATTTTTTTACTATGCATTGTAACCATATAACTTGACTGTTTCCTTGTTCTCATCATATATACATTTTCTTTAGTCAGTGGCGTTTTTTAGTGCAATAGACTTAGACACTTGTCTCCGTAAAGAAGTAACAATGGACTGTATCACACCATCTAATCCTCACGGCTTGCAGCAGCGCTACAATGTTTCACCAGGTATGACCTTGTTCAAACATTGACTGGGGTGTCAGATGCAACTCGTTAGCAAGTTTAATATGTTTTACACCACTTTAAATAAAGAATACGTCTGAATCATATCTTATATTTTCTATTATTTTATCTTATTATATGTCAGAACCAGCGATTTGTAAATTTCTGTTCATTTAACTTGTTCAAACATTTCGATGATATATTGCACGATATTTTCTGTATCAATCTTAATCCATCGAAAATTTTTCCGCAGGTGAAGCTCTCAATATCTATGAAATTATTGATAAAACACAGGGAAGACTAGAACCCACTTCAAATGTATAAAATAAAATCTGTAATTTCTTATGATTTTCACTTTTAGATATTTTTGTACTCAATGTATCATTTTCACTAGCCTTTCAATAATTCATCATACATTCATTGTTGATGAAATGACAAGAAATACACATTTTTTAATACAATTGTAGTTTATATTGCCTTTCTTAAGTTGTTACATACATGTTTAGTCAAATGTCATGTAAAAATTACACAATCAACGTAATATAACATTAAAGAAATCCTCTATAACATTATTATTAAGCATATTAAAATATTCATAAGCCATACTAACAACAATTTTTAATCCAATAGATTTCATCAAATTGTTTTGAAACTTTCATTTTGGTAAATTATTTAAATAATAAAAGAAAGTCCCAGTATCTATTTGCACGTAATTAATATCAACATAAACTGACAGACTAATCACCAACATTTTTTTTTAATTTACAAAAACAAAAAAACTAAGACATAAAACGCATGAGCTCTTCTTTTTTTTAAAAACTCGTTTAAAAAATATTCCATAAAAGGAAAAGGGCAAGTTTTAAATTTTAATTAGCATTTTGAAAAATTTAAAATTATCAATTTTTTACTTTGTGCCGTTTAAATTGATTAAAACAAATTTTGTCAATGGTAAATTGATCAACGGAAATTTGATCCAACGGAAATTTGGTCTAAACTTTTTTTCAGTTAACACGTTAAAATTTTTGTAAAATTTCTTTTTGAAGCAAAATATTAAAGTAAAACCTGGAAGAAAAAAATTCAACCAAATTTCCGTTTGATCAATTTACCATCGACGAAATTTCTTGCGATCAAACTTCCGGATACAGTTGAAATTTTGTTTCTGAGTATAAATAATCAGTATTTTACTCTTCTGAATTATAAAATTATAAAGATTCTTTGGAACTATCTTTATTTATATAATATCTGACAAACAAAATAAGAAACAATAGACATTTTCAGAGTGTGATACATAATATTTGTGCGGTACAATTTCACAAGGTTCGTATAAGGATGTTAAACAGTAATCAGATTTCTGTTAATCCGATTCAAAACAGATAACCAGTTATTGATTTTTACAAAGCGATAATAGAATTATTTTTATGACATTTTGAAGAAAAAGACATAACTACCAGTATAAATTTTATTAAATATAAGACTTTTAAAAATTATGAACTGTCATATATAAATTACGTAGACTACTCGTAACCTTCCTAGGTTTCTAACAATAACTGCGGTTAGCTGATTGATGTCAGGGAACGGTCAAAGTTGTGTGTTTTTTTTCAAAAAATTAGGAGATAAAATAAAATTTGAGGTGGCTTTGTCTTCGCAGGTGTCAATGGATATTAAAAAGTTTGCAGATTGCATTATCGCAGTGTGGTCACTGGTTATAAACATAGGCTCTCCAGCACATGCTCTGCGGGTGTACAATAAATACTGCAGGTTTCATGTTAGACAATTGATAATACCAATTTGGGGTATGAATATGTACTGGAAAGAGAGTTACTAATAACATTCTTGTCTATCTGAGCTTGCTGTGCAGAACAGTTGGGAATGCATTGTAAAAACCAATAACTGGTTTTGAGGCTTGAATCCTAAAACCAATATTAACCAGTTTGATAAACCTCCCATGTTAGCATGTAGGAAAATAAGTTCTGAGAGTCATTGCTGAAATCAGAGAGTTAATTAATAAATAAAATCAGGGACTGGAAACAGCTTTCAAAAGGAACAGTTGAGGCGACAACACTTGACACACTTGCGTCTATCGCCTCAGGCCTTCCAACCCCCAATGCATGATACCCTCACAAAGTAGCCCCTGCAACGAGTGAAATATCCTCAAAATCCGGCACAGAAACATTGCAAATCCCCTCTACATGCATATGAGCCAAAATGATCAATAAATTGATCGTGGGCTCTTAATATATAGAAGAAGAAACATATTTTGTACGCACTATTACCAAAATTCTGATAATTTTTTCAGGTAAAAATATTTGTTGAATTTAATCATGTAGAAAATTGTTCATAAATCTACATAGATAATATATTTCATATAAGAAAAAAAAAGACCTTATTTTTATATCTCCAGTTACAAAATAATCCAGAACAGAATCCGCTAAAAATAAAAAAAGGAAGATAAAACTCAAGACAAAAAACAATCATGCATATTTCTCTTACTACACATTGATTTTTATAATCAATTTAAAAAGAAACAAATGTTGGGTTGCTATGGTTCATATTATACTGAAGTTAACTGAAAAGTTCATTAAAATATTAATTACAGTAAAATCTCATTTATAAAACACTATGATTTTGCCTTTAAGTTACTTTAAGTGGAAGTATCTAGACAAATTAATATGTACAATTTTCCTTTTACTCCTGTGTAATAGGCAACCATGAATTAGCAACCTAAATTGAGTAATCAATTGTATTATACATGAGATTTGATGTTTTGTTATTTCCAAATTACTATAACAGCAAGCAACGACCACCTTTTATTTCAAATGTAAACATTCAACACAAAGTTTCAATGTTTCAGATAAGGTCTGAGGAAATAAAATTCTTTTTCCTTTCAAACATTTAAAGGATGTACACATGTAAAAAAATTATTCATTAATATATAAGTGAACAGAAATATTTCTACTCCAAAGTAAATTTATAATTATATGCCAATAACCCTATGAAAGCTCATAAAACATGAAACTATAACATGAATTTGGAGACAAAAATTTTAGCAAATAAGACTCCATGGCATAAGATTGAAAGCTATAACTATTTCAATGTTTGGACATTAAGAGAAGAAAAAAAAGCAGCTAAAAATCAACTTTTTAAAAGTTAATGCCGCTGGACCAAAATTGTACTAACCACTCCAATTTTTGTCAACTATTTAAATGCTGACCAACTGAAACAGAAGCATTGAAAACCCAATCACAGCCAGAAACATCCATGTTTTTTTTTTTATATTGAACACTGTTCATGAGTTTAAACAAAAAAGGTCAATAGTTGTAATATTAAACAAAAATAAGAGTCTTTATTTCACATAGAAATCCATTTTAAACAACCCAAGAATTAATGTGAACTATAGTTTAAAAAAAACTTTTAAACAAGGATCGAATGATTGAAATCATAAGACAAAAGATGTGGGTAGTTGCTGCTTATACATGTAGGCCAGGCTCTGAGCAGCCAAGGATAAGGACTGACGCCTTGAGACCCCTGATAGAACCATCTGCCAATCTGCATGACCAATGTGAGGTTGGGCTGCTTCTATTGCTTCCCCAATTGTGACAGACAGACCAGCCCATCTGAATAAGGAAATGTGATTTTAAGGCTAGCAAAAATCAATCATGGTGATAAGAAAAATCAAACAACTAATAAACTTATTTAATATATTTTAAAATGTAAGTCATATTGGTAAAAAGCAAGCAAAGGAAAAGATCATCTCGTTATCCTTCATTTATCTACTGTGAAATAAATGTACCCAATAGAGGTAAACAATTTGTTTTATTATTCTGACATTTTTTCTTCAAATCTATGAAATAGATGATCCAATTCAGGTCATAAACATTAAATCAATTCACGTGCTTTATAAGTAAAGGTTTTCAAATTTACCTTAGAGGGTAATCTGACAGAGTTTTTTCCTGTGCTGTCATCATATACTCTGTAGCAATTGGTGTTGGTTGAGAGAACATCTGCAACTCAATACCATGTGTGGGATCTTTCAGAGCCAAACAGCTCAGTTCATACCATCTACATTTTAAGGAATGCCATATTGAATCACAATTATTAATATTTTTACAAGTTAAATATAAAAAGATTTAAATCAAAAGAGCTTATTTTTTAGGTTAGCTAACATATTGATAAGTTGCTATAGAGCAAACCTGTCTGGTATAATCTCCACAATAAAGCCCTCTACTGCAACAATTGTCTGGTTTTCAGAAACTTCGCCGCTGTTGCGTAGATTAGCAATTCTGTCCTCAGCTCCTTTCAAGCCTGCAGTAAAACCAACTGGCTGTGCAGCAGTTTTTGCTTGGCTGTCCTAAAAGAAGCAAAAAAAAAATAATAATTTGCACCTGTATTAGGTTTTAATCAGGGGTGCCACTTTTCCGGATTATCCTGGAATTCCAGATTCGCGAGGCTAAATATTTTGTCAGTTTTTATCTCTGGCTCTGGATTTGCCAGTTCAGTTTATTCAAATACGGAGAGTCTGGGTTTTAAAAAAAAATTTAATGTGTAAGAATGCGTGAGGTTCGCTATAAATAGAACAGGTACTGTAACCTCTTGCTTTTGTTTGCAAACCTCTCGCTTTCATTTGCAAGCACCTCGCTTCTTGCTGTGTCAAGCTACTTTCTGCAGTGTATGAATTTTATGAGTTTCGTTAAGTTTAAGGGTTTGAAAAATGGTAAAAGATTCAGGTTTCAACAAATTTTTAGAAAGGGATTTCAGAGTTCACAGCTTTCAGTGAGTGGCATCCATGTTTTTAATAAATACTTAAATGGATCAAATTTAAAACAGAAAAGAAGCACTAACATTTACTCAAACTGTACAATATTAAAATGCATTTAAATATTTTTCTATAATTAGCTTAGGCCCTATTGTGTTGTCAGCCAACAATTTTTTAAAAAGTGTGATACGTTCTCAATTCATAAATGATTAAGGGATAAATAAAATAAAAACTATTTAAACAATGATAAAGAAATACAGCAGCTTTATGTCATATTTTAAACCTTCCAATACAAACCTTTCCTGAAATTGTTGCTTTACCAAAAACTTTCTGAAACGCATCTCTCACAGGAATCAATTTATTTTCCTTGGTGGAAGTTTTGGTTCAAATTCAAGTTATTGAAATATCTCCACCAGAAACTGAAAATACAAAGTTTGACAACAAAAATTATGTACGATTTGTTAATATGAATTATATCTCATATTATCATGTCTCATTCAAATACATATTGATTTAATAAATAAAATTATAATATTGCTTTTAAAGCCTGCTGGAAAAAACTCTTTGCTAATTCATCTTAAATCAGAGTAATTAGCCTTTTTCCCCCATGAATACCTTTGTCAGTCAGGCAAATGCTACAGACCCTTTCTTAGAATATAGCTTTAATGCATATAATACAATAATTTCAAAGGAAAAGCAGTACTGACAACTTTTCATGGACCTCCCAAGGGGTCCAGGACCCCAGGTTGATAGCAAAGAACCCTTCTTAAATTGTTATTTTTGTTAAGTTCAAATGCATACTCACAGATTATTTGTCGCATTCCAGGATCTAAAGTTGTTATGACAGTCTCCATTGAACTCTGAATAAAACATTTTTAAATACTTGCAACAATTGTTAATAGTCATTTAAGTTTAATCATTTTTCTTAAACCCACTCTTAGTAATTAGGTTTTGTATCACATTGAAATGCTTTGATCTCTGGTTCCTAAATCACAACAGAGCTGAAATTTGGTGCACATGATAGTAAAAATAGCAGGTTTTTAATCCACGATTCATCATTTATCTTAATATATAGAGAGAAAATTCAATCCTGAAGCAAAAAAATTTCTTAATCTCACTGGTCTTATAATCGTTTGTCACAATCATATATTCCTGAACTATGTCAATTTAATGAATAAGTACAAACCTTTGTTTTTTCAACCACTCGATTGACCAAACTGTTATTGGAAATCCAACCAAAGAAACTCTGACCTCCTGCAGTGGCACTTGCTACAAAACCTTACGGTTCAATTGCCGCTTCAGGGATCTTAGTCTTCACCTCATGGGGAATCTGTGGAGATTCTATCAATCAAGAAAGTTTCAGACAAAATGATTGAATCATGCCATGATTCATGGGCTTGAATTTTAAGAAAGCAAGATAAAAAGGAGATGATTTTAACAGCAGATGATATCACCAAATTTGAAATAAAGATTTAATTTTAAAACCTTTTAAATTCATTTTTACCTGGAGCTTTTGGATGTGTTGGGGTTTAAACTGGAGAAGTTTGTGTAGGAACAGTTGGTGTAGATGGACCCTAAGGAAACAATTATTGGCCTAATGTCAGCTATACAATACTAAAACAAATAGCTGACATCACTTTTACAACATTAATAAATTAATGTAGTTATTGAATTAAAATCAGAGGCATTTATTTTAATAATATAAATATATTTTTATTTCCTTAACATGTATGTACAAAGATAAAAATCAGTTATCAAATGAGAAAGTAGTTAAATATGTAGTTACTATTACATTGCCCATGGTTCCAAGTGACATATTAATAATTGCAGGTAATGGAGTGGGTGCTGCTTGTGGCTTAGGCAATAAGGTCGTTGGAGATCCTAAACAAAAAAATGTTACATTATCAGAACACCTTCAACTGCTTAAATAAATAGACAATGAATTTCATTTCAAACTTAAACATTTTAAACTACCACATTTCTTTTTAAACATACGAGTAAATTAAGAATCTTTTCAAATAACTGTCCATTTTTAATTGTAATGATATGCTTTTGATATGATTTGTTTATATCACACTATGCAGCACTGTCTATTTGATACCTATTGAAAATGTTGAAGTTTGAGTTGCCTCTTTTTCTGCCTCCATTGCTTCTTCATGTGAGACCATTTCTGGTTGCTCATCATTGGTTCCTTCCATCATCTTTAAATTATCTGTCACAACATCAAATGTATGTAATATAATTAAATATGCATATCCTAAGGCTAAATAACAAGTTCTGCAAGTTAATACTATTAGTAGGTTACTTTTAAAAGAATCTTTGTATCATAATTGATAGGACCCTACATAATGTATTTATTACTTTTATCAACATGACAGTAATACTATTGGTGTTTTGTAACTATAAACTTCAATAAACATTTGATACTTGTTATACTTCTTTTTGTTTTTCAAGTGGATGATGAAGGAAATATGATGACACTGGTTTCACGAAATAAAATTCCCGATAACTTGGCTAGATGAGATTCTGTTTAAACAAATGTCAAAATGAAACATCCGATCAACAGAATTGGAAAGTGGACATTTGTGAAAGAGATTCTTTTATGCATTACTTTGGGTTTTGGTGAATTATTTTATGGACTTTATGTTGTACCTTTTATGTTTATAATGTATTTTCTGTGTGCGTGCGTGCGTGCGCATGCGGTTATATGTATATGTGTGTGTGTGTCTATGTGTGTGTATGTGTGTGAGTGTGTGTGTGTGTGAAGAGACAGAGAGAGTGAGGGAGTGAGTGTGAGACTGAAAGAGACAGAGAGAAAGCGAGAGAGAGAGAGAGATAGAGAGAAAGAAAGAGAGAGATCATTATATCAGCCCTGCATGCATCAGAGCTGAGGCACAACTCCTAGACAACAAATTGTCACATCGGTGACACGTCAAGTCACTTAACTTAGGCTGACATTTCACATGGCGACCTGACCCAGCCATCAACTTCAGCCGTGGGATCTATCGTCTCATTCGGTGTGTTTCCAGCCTGTGTGTCAGGAAAGATTCAGGTGTGCTGTAAACTGATGATGAAAACATCACAACTAACTAACCCCTAATAAGAAGTCCACGAATTTCCCCATTGCAGAGTATGACACATCAAACAATCGCTCTAGTAAATACATTTTAATACATCGCCTTTTCGTTGATAGCCTACTTACGAAAACAACCAATTTATTTTTTTAAAATATATTTTAAATGGTATGTCATATGTCACATATTTTAATGATTGTATATGATTATATATATATATATATATATATATATATTTATATATATATATATATATATATATTAGATAATTTTATTTATGTGATATTTTTTTTTTTTAAAATATATTTTAAATGGTATGTCATATGTCACATATTTTAATGATTGTATATGATTATATATATATATATATATATATATATATTTATATATATATATATATATATATATATTAGACAATTGCATTTAGGTGACATTTTCAAGATCGTACTATAGTATCAATGGAACCCGACCAAGCATAGACTCTTGACAGTCGGACGATGGTTCTCAGAATCCCAGGTTGGGTGGGTCCAATCAGTCGCTATCAACATTTGAATTCTGTCATTGAACTAACTTAATGTCTCGTTTCAAGACAGAAGCTTTTGATAGTTACTGGCGATTCACACGAATCACCAACAGCATGAATTTAAGTGTATGTCTCAGGCATACGACACCACCAACAGCATGTATTTATTTTTTTCTGTTTTAGGCCAGTGGTTGGCAAACTCATTAGTCAAAAGAACAAAAAATCAGCAGCTGGACGATTAAAACATTTTTAAGAGCCAAAGTGTTAAGAACCTGTCAAGACTCATGTTTTTCAAAGTCAAACCGATTTGTGGCCGACTGGCTGAGCCGCACTCAGGTCGGTAAAGAGCCGCATGCGGCTCGCGAGCCGCGATTTGCCAACCACTGTCTTAGACCTACGATATCACCAATAGCATGTGTTTATTTGTATCACCATGTTCACCATAATTAGCAAAGTAAATTCGCCCATTGACTAAACGTTCACTTTTTAATGACCAATCATTTTGATGATCTGACCAATCATTTTGATGAGATGGACAATCATTATAATGAGAAGAACAATTGTTTTGATGATCTGACCAATCATTTTGATGATCTGACCAATCATTTTGATGATCTGACCAATCTTTTTGATGATCTGACCAACCTTTTTGATGATATGATCAATCATTTTGATGATATAACCAATGATTTTGATGATCGACCTACCATTTTGATGATATGACCAATCATTTTGATGATATAACCAATGATTTTGATGATCGACCTACCATTTTGATGATATGACCAATCATGTCGATGATATAACCAATGATTTTGATGATCGACCTACCATTTTGATGATATGACCAATCATGTCGATTATATAACCAATGATTTTGATGATCGACCTACCATTTTGATGAGATGGACAATCATGTCGATGATAAAACAAATGATTTTGATGATCGACCTACCATTTTGATGATATGACCAATCATGTCGATTATATAACCAATGATTTTGATGATCGACCTACCATTTTGATGATATGACCAATCATGTCGATTATATAACCAATGATTTTGATGATCGACCTACCATTTTGATGATATGACCAATCATGTCGATGATATAACCAATGATTTTGATGATCGACCTACCATTTTGATGATATGACCAATCATGTCGATGATATAACCAATGATTTTGATGATCGACCTATTATTTTCATGATTTGACCAGACATTTTAATGAACAACCGGTCTAACAGCTTATTTTTCATTTTTAACTTTTACTTATTCTTTTTCAATGAGCCATAATACTTGATAACTCCGTCGTTGTTTGTACAACCGCTGGCTTATAAACTCGTCTGACTATTAAATACAACTTTAGGTACCTTTAACTTTAAACAATCTAGAATATCAGACAATAATTTCCGAAGCCTTATCAGCTCGAGCCGTGGACTGCTGCAGCCTAGCTGACCGTTGACGGGTCACCCATCTGTCAAGATTTAGAGGGACCTGAGAACCATCGTCCGACTGTCAAGACTTAGAGGGACCTGAGAACCATCGTCCGACTGTCAAGACTTAGAGGGACCTGAGAACCATCGTCCGACTGTCAAGACTTAGAGGGACCTGAGAAATGATGTCCCACAGTCAAGATTGAGTGGGGCCTGAGAAATGACGGCCAACTGTCAAGATTGAGTGGGGGCTGAGAAATGACGGCTAACTGTCAAGATTGAGTGGGGCCTGAGAAATGAAGCCCGTCTGTCAAGATTTAGCGGGAACTGAGAAATGAAGCCCGTCTGTCAAGATTTAGAGGGAACTGAGAAATGAAGCCCGTCTGCCAAGATTTAGAGGGATCAATAAATAAAGCCCATCTGTCAAGATTTAGAGGGAACTGAGAAATGAAGCCCGTCTGCTAAGATTTAGAGGGATCAATAAATAAAGCCCGTCTGTCAAGATTCAGAGGGAATTGAGAAATGAAGCCCGTCTGCCAAGATTTAGAGGTAACAGAAATTAAGCTCGTCTGCCAAGATTTAGAGGGAACTGAGAAATGAAGCCGGACTGTCAAGATTTAGAGGGAACTGAGAAATGACGCCCGACTGTCAAGATTTAGAGGGAACTGAGAAAGGAAGCCGAGTCACAAATCTTAATACAAACAGAAAGGTTACTTGAAATGTTTTTACAGCAAAAAAAATAACTACTTATGACGAGACCTGTTGATTTTGAGATGTATTATGTCATCACACATCAGTGTATCATGTCTGCACACATCAGTGTATTATGTTAACAGACGTTGTTACTAAGTGTTGTGAGGAAAAAATGTGCAGTAAAAGTAAACCACGCCCCATACTTATTTTAACGACATTCTAATGCTTCGATTGAGCCCGGGGGGGGGGGGGGG